TGGGTCGCATGTGTTTGCCCTTGCAGGCTTGCTTCACATTGTGTGCGAAGGGAGGCTCAGCTGCAAGATTGCAGTTTTTAATGAAAGTGAAGGGGCTATAAAAGACAGGTACAATCTGGGCGTATATATCAAGCGCCTTTGTTAAGGTTGACAATGAAGCAGGCTTGACTGATTCTACAGACTGGCTAAATGGTCCCACCTATCCCAGAAGCACAGGTATTAACTATGAACGGGAGGCACTGCTGGGGTGAATTCAGCTCTCTATATTGAGGTCTTCCTGTAAGGCTGGAGTCCTGTTTTCAAAGGTCAGTTCTTTACTTTATCCCTTTACAAGAGCTTATTTCTAAAAGGAATTTCTTTTTTGGTTGCTTAGCTTTTAAAAGAGCTTTAAAACCGTTTTTTGGAAAGTCAAATTTTGAATGAATGGAATAGTTCTCCCAACAATGGAAATTTGCTGAAAATGTACTTGCCTTCAGGCCATCCAAGATATAGATGAGTTTGTTTCACTTACTCATCAATGGATCATTCGCAGGTAATGGGTGCCATCAGAATGAGAGACCAAACAGCTGATAAAAACAAAACAATAATCCACAAGTGATCCACATATTTCCAGTCCACCAATTAACATAGTGTAGAGTGAAAGCTGTGTGTTTATAATAAAACAATCAAGACCATTTTTAACTTTAAACTGTAGCTTCCAGCTAAAATATGAGTCCTCAATCCATAATATTGCTTCCTTCAGTAAAAAAGTTGTTTTGTCTGAATCAGGAGAGAAATATGCATAGACCAAGCATCGTTTACATACGAAAACAGTTAAAACAGTTCTAAACAAATATGTTGATGTGAGAGGACAACGGGGGATGGACCTTTTCACTGGAACTGGAGGAAGCATTATTATGGATTATGGACACCTTACTGACAGATTGAAGCTTTTTTCTTCACAAGATGTTAATTAATGGACTGGAGTCGTGTGGATTATTAAGACATTTGAACTCTCATTCTGATTCTTTCATTCCGCCACCCATTCACTGCTAAATTTATTCAAATCTTTTTCGATGAAGAAACAAACACATCTACATTTAGGATGGTCTGAGGGTGAGAACGTTTTCAGCAAATCTTCATTTTTGGGTGAACTATTCCTTAAACTAAGTAATGTTGGAAAAATTAATCTGGAGGACAGAACATCATCTTTTATATTAGTTACAACAGAGGAATATGTTTTCTGGATAAAAGGACAGAATAAAACAAGCAAATTGCATAAATAATCCTTTATTGTCTTTCTTTTTAATAGCTTTTATATACTGAAATTAATTAGCGTTTGCAGCTGAAATTAAGCCAGTGTAAATAAATGATTCGGTTCACTGTATTTCAGCATGTGAACGTTGAGCACAATACTGTGATCATAAAGTGATTTCAGCAGCCGGGCCACCATTTGCATTCGCTGGCAGCAGCGTTTAGGTTGACAAATAGGGACGACAGGAGAGTCAGCCAACTGCCACTTAG